TCGTCGTAAGATGTTGACCGATGCTCATGAATTATTATCAAAGGTGGGAAAAAGTATGGATCCATCTGGGTATTTCCGAAATACTAAAATTATTACTCATCCATTTAATCTTGGTGATATTATTGCAACAAGGATGGTAAAAGATAATTGGAAAGATTATTTCTTCCAAGGGCAAAATTTAAAGATTGGAGAAGTTTCACTCATTCAATATTCCCCGACACTTAAAATAGATACAATTTTAAATATTTCTTTTACGTATAATACAGAGACTAATATTAAGTCTAGCCTTGACTCCAAATAAATAAAGTTTTATTATCCTTTATTGAATGAAATCTCTTAGTTTCCCAAAAGAAACGTCTTAATTTTAGTGTATATTATTAGTGATTGTATTTCTTATATATTTATTTGTATTTTATTTATATGTTTTTTTATTTATTATAAATAAATTATCATCAATTATCCCTTCAAAGCAATCAAAGAAATTTTTACCAACTCTGTTGTTACTCCGGCAATTTTAATTACAACTCCATTTCATTTTTCTTTTTCTCTACTACAAAGTGAAGAAACTGACCAAAGTAAAATCAATTATTTTATTTGTCTTATTTATTACTATTTTATTAAATTCATTCAATATGTGATCTATTAATGGAATTAGGTCCATAAATTATCAATATTGCAAAACAATCGTAAGGTTCCAATCGATTCATTAAAATATTATTATTATCATTATTGTTATTATCATTTTTTAAAAAACTACATCACGAAAATTTGATTTTCTTCATTACCATTCCTGATTTATAATTGGCAAATTCCCATCGTTCTCCTCTAGACATTCTCCCACTAGTAAACCAATCTAAAACTATTAGAGATGATATATCATCTTCCAATTTGAATTTTTGATATTGTGAATAATCTGCTGACTGAAAGCAAGTAGTTGGTCCAGGTAATTGAAGAAAATTGAATTCTTTTGTATAAATGCAACAAGATTTTGTTGGGTAATATTCGCATTATTATTATTATTTATTATATTATTTGATTTATTATTATTATCATCATTATTATTGTTATCAAATTCATTTTTGGTTTCATGACTGGTTTTTTTTTTATATAATTTCGTTGAACCTTGTGTTAAAAGCATTAAATTTATATTTTGGTGAATTTTAATATTAATATCCAGATACCATACCTCTTCCATAAAAAAGAATATACACAATAGCAAGAAAGGGTGAATGAGTTTTGGGAGTAAGAAATTTTAAAGGATATGAAGAACGAAGAATGGAAAGGTGAGTTTTTTAGAGTTAATTGGAAGTTCACAAACTATTTGACCATATCCTTGTTGAGAATGTTGTTGAAGATGTGATTCCATTGTTAAAAAAAAATTAATTTTTTTGCAAATATGACTGACATTGAAGTGCAACTTGATACAATTACAGGGATTCCTTCACAAAATGATAAAACGACCGAATATCGTTCTTTACTTGATTCAATACTCACTTCCTCGGCGGATGAAACAGTTTTAGCGAATAACTTGGAAAAATTTGATAAGAACAAGTTGGTTGGTAATTTCTCGTCAAGTATTGTCAGAGTGTTGATAAAATTGAAAACTCCGAAATCAAACTTAAAATTATGCAAATTAATAAAAAATTGAATTGCTATTTTTTGAAATTTCTAAATTTATAACACTGCTGGTGTTTTAAACAACTTTTATTTTCGGCTCACCCCTAAAAGTGTTTATTCTCAAATTATTATTATATAGAAAAAGATTTTTATCGTTCATATATGAACTAGCGATTAAAATTTTCAATTCCTTAAGAAATTTTAATTTACAATATTAAATTTTTGAAAATTTGAGCTTAAGTGTTATATTTATATTTTTTCATGATTTCGTCACATGTCTAGACGGTTATCTTCAGCATGAAGAAACTAGAGTTCAAAGAAAATGAAGTTACGTTGTGCATATATTAGTCAGTTCCCTTGAAGGTTCGGTCATTACACCTCAAATAAAAGTCATTGATATTCTAGTGAAAGTTCTAGTTGCGCCAAAAAAAAAATATCGAAAAAAATTCTCAAAGAAATAATATTCATAACTGATGAAAAGCAGAAAATAACTCATTTATGAAAATTTCGTAAAATTTGTTGCAATTTCAGAATTCGTGCGATGTGAATGATACGATTAATTTTTTTTATTATTTTCACTTCATTCATATACTAAACTATTTTATCAGTTCTGAAATATAGGCAAACTTTGATAATACTCTAGAAGACGGAAGTTATTTTTATAAAAATTAAATATTCCTATCAATTATTAATTCTGGTTATATACCTAATCATATTATATATATTATGTTTATATGATGTGATCAAGTTATTAATTTATTTATTGTATTTATTATATTAAGCTTGGCAGCAGGATGTTGAAATCCAATATGGAAATTTTTCATTTGGAGATTTAGGCTGAGGCATTAGTCATTATGAATTTAAAGTTGATATCTCGAAAAAAAAGGAAGTGTCTAATGAGAATGATACTGACATTGATTTATTTCCTTTCTTGGAAACAATAAAAGATAAAATTGTTTTGGGTTAATCCGACCAAAACCTATTATGTATTATGTTTTGAAACTTAAATATGAAATTAATACCCTTTGATACCTTTTTATGCTGATGTGTAACTTAAAGCGTTATTTAAACCCTCTTCAACTTTTATTCACTTATACAT